CCTCCACTCTTACTGGCAAACCAAATTTGGGTTTTGATTACTTCAGCTTGTTACTCAAGTCATGGGGTTGTTATGGTTATTATTATTTACAGACAGACGTCTAGCCGCCTTGTCCAAATGCATCCGTTATTGCAACACGCTAACTTTGGCCCAAGTGTTGGGGACATCAAATGAATTTGACATGCTTATGTGTTTTACATGCTCTTTCTTGAATCATCCAAATATAAGACTTGCAATAAATAAAGTAGTCACTGGTAACATAAGTTTAAGAAATTAATTAGAAATTAGAAAGAAATCAGCGATCTAATAATCTAATCTAATGCTGATAAATTGTGCTTTAATGCCACCTGTTATCTCTCAAACTTTTCATGCTAACCAATAATTGTATTACTTCCATCAACATCCTAATGGAATGACAATATACAGTAACCAATTTTATCAGATACACATATCATCTTCTGTCAACATTTTATCCAGACCAGAACCATTCTATTTTTAGAATGCACAATAAAAAAAATCCCATTATTTTCACAGATTCAAGAATTTGTTTTTTAAGCAATGGAAAATTAAAGAAACTAAAAACCCCAGAGTAAATTACATTTTATCTACAGTAGACCTTTTACAGAGTAAATTTTTAGTATTATCATCTTTTGGGTTCAAGGGTCATACTGGTCTATTAGGAAATAAGCAAGTTGATATTGCTGCAAAGGAAGCTATCAGTTTGGGTACAGAATGTTAAATATTTCTCTAGAGATCATTTTAATGATCTTTTATTGCATTGTATTTATTACACAAAAAAATTTAGATCTATTTGTCAACAATGGCATTTTGCTTAAAAATAATGGTTCCTCTGTTGGAGTACAAAAATGACAACTTGACACCAAAATATTAAAAAGTTGAAAATTGTCAAGGTACATAATATATTTTAAACTATATCACTACATATTAACCCATTTGTGAATTGGTAAATCATACCTCAAAGTCCTGGTATTGCTCTTCAGTCAGTGATTTCTTAGCCACCACCAGTGTCCGCAGGCCCTCTCTGGCCATGTTCCCACACTGAATCAACATAATGCAACACACAACTACAATTACATCAGCTACAGCCATGACGTGTGAGTGGTTGTGTATTAGACTGTAAACTCAATTGGTAAACAGAAAGCATGAGAACAAAGATATAAACAATGCTTTTAACACAATTGTATTTACTGGAAACATCAAAACAGTGTCATGCAAATAGAGATATGCAAACACACACACGCACAGGAAGAATCAATCGTGAAAAATACAACAGTGCCTGTGGGAATCTTTGAGCAGACTGTAAAAGATGTGGGACAGCGGTTTAATTTTGATATGAAAATCCAACAGGCGAAAGTGATGCAGTGATTACTTATTGACCTGTCCTTATAGCAGCGTCTCACATGCACACACAAAGCGCACCGATGAGGATTATGACATGATGCTCCCAGTCATAAGCCTTTATTGAGGTCATTCATTAATTAATAAGCCTCATCTCCGCCCCTCATCGACTGCATATTGCCAATACAATTGTAATCATCAAAGTGAGAAATGCATGTGTGATGATGGGCTGAGCAGATTGTCCTTGATCACAGAGGCTAGGACAGACCGACCTGTTTGTTATGCTTAGCGCTACCTTATCAAATGTGTTGATTCTTAATTCAATCGGGATCTGTTCATAAAGACACTCCTACTAGGGATTCAATACCAAAAACACTGGCGGTACCTACTGAGGAAGTCAGTTGGAATGACAGACATACGGGAACTGGGGCTACGAGTCATCATATACTAGCCAAATACTCGTTTATACTTTAAATTTATAACTGTAATATGTATATATTATACACTACTGTTCAGAAGTTTGGAGATCACCAAGGCTGAATATATTTGATAAAAAATACAGTAAATACAGTACAATTTTAAAATATTAATTATGTTTTCTATTTTAAAATGTAATTTATTGCTGTGATGGCAAATCTGAACTTTCAGCAGCCATTACTCTAGTCTTAAGTGCCACATGATCTGTTGATTTGGTTCTCAAGAAACAATATGATCAATGTTAAAAAAAAGTTGTGATGCTTAATATTTTTGTGGAAACAATACATTTTTTTCTTTTTACAGGATTCTTTGATCAATACTACCAAAAGCATTTTATTTTAAATACAAACGTTTTGTAGCATTATAAAATGTTTCTACTGTCACAAAACACAAACATGTTATTGACCCCAAACTTTTAAACTTGTGCAAATTCGTCTACCAAACTGTCTTTATATTACTTTTTTTTCCTATCAGAATTCTTTAGTTAATAGAAAGTTTAAAAGAACAGCATTTATTTGAAATATAAATATTTTATAACAACATAATTTTATTGTCACTTTTGATCAATTTAATGCATCCTTGCAAAATAAAAGTATTAATTCCTTTAAAAAAAATCATATTGGGCCCCAAACGTTTGAACAGTAGTATAAGTATATAACTTGCAATATGTATCACAATATGTAAAAATGGTTAGATATTTTCTTACATTAAAGAAAATGTAAAAATGTTTTCTTAGTTTTGTGTGTCATAACTGCTATATTGTTAAAATTTTACTGAAAATGTAAAAATTAACACCTGTCAACACTACACCAGAATTTGTGAGACTCACTTAATCTGGTGACATTTTTCCTATTCTTTTAGTTTTTGCATGGATAAATTACATTTGAGAACAAATATAAAGGTACTGCGCTTATTTGTATTGTGTTTACTGTCATTTGACACACACACACACACACACACGCACACACACACACACACATTACTCAACAAAGGCTAAAGGACACAAAGCCAGACTACAGAGGAAACAAGTTCAAACGTGCACACATTTTCACATTCTCTCCAGATGTTTTTACAGTGTTTGAAATTAGAGAAATATGTAATTCTGAAAACATACAAACACACTTGCAGTTGGATACGCACCCTGACAATAATGCCCATGCGCTTGCTCTCAGAGGTGAAGGGGAAGATCTGGAGGATGTAATAGGTCAAGATGTGTCCGGCTGGGGTCTTCAGCTGGAGGGACGTCAGGTCTCTGTTCACCAGAGTCAAACCCACACTCTCAGTCCAGCGCACCAGAGCCACCTACACAACATGTGAAAGAATGTCTTGTTGTAAAATATCTGTTTTTGTGACCAGTTACATGCAACTTTTTGCTCTCAATGATCAAATCATCTTTAAAGAGATGACAAAAAAGTCACATTTAAAGTCACAATCTACACTAGGTCTAGGTCACTAATGAAGTTTCTGAAAATCCAATCTTGTACGGTCAAATTGTCTTGTTACTACTGGAGCACGAGATTCTGTTTGGATCATTCTCAAATCATGCTCGACAGTCAGTAAAATCAAACCAAATACTGAGACATTCCAAAATTCATGTTAATAATTCAACTTTCTACTCTAGTTGAAATATGCTGATAATATAGAGTTATGCTGATAATAGAATATATAAAAAATACTGAATGGAATTAGAAAAGATTCTAATAAATTATATAAAATCTTGTTCAGTTGTGTCTCAGACTTCTTGACCCCATTGCATGCACTGTTTATTTCAAGACTGAAAGATCATAAACATCCCTGCAAATTATGCCTTTAAATTACTCCACAGCTCTGATTACAACGGCTTTCTTTGCTCTTACACACATCAGAACACAGCTAGAACTCTTGTTTATGGCATTTCAATGTGATATGACTAATTAGCCAGTCTTCTATCAACCTGACAGTGCTAAATGATGCCCTCAAGAGCACACACACACACAAGTAACTCAGGTGGTGGGGAAATGCCTTCAGGAGAGGAGCAGGGAACTGTTTTACGACACAGGGGAGAGCCTTTAATACACTCTATCAATCATTTCAGCAGTACAGGAAGAAAAGCTGTAATCATAAACCAAGATCACTGCGCCTTCAAGAAGCAGAGAGGATTGAACCCGCACCATGTGACCTACGACCACATGAAGACGTGGCTGTTTTTTAATAAAGAGACCAGATGTGACAGGAAATATGATACAACGTCATAAAAAAGGCAAAGTGGAGATGGGTTTATCTGACAGAGCAGTTTCTTCTAGGAATATGCTGAGAGAAGTTTATCTGAATTCTATCTTTCACTTATCATCATTATAACAGTATATTATTTTACACTTTTTGAGCAATGACTTTTCCAGTCGTTTGATTACTGGCTTTTTTTTATTTTTTATTATTTTCTAGAGATTGCACTCACAAAGAATTATTATTATTATTTTTTTAACAAATTCAATATTTTAGAGTTGAGCATAACTAAGAAAAATTATACTGACTACAGAAATTTCAATTTTTTTTTATTATAAATGATTAAATATTGTTATTAATGATTAAATTATCTAGGCCTGGAAATAACGATTGTAACATTCATATTTAGTTTTAAAATTCATATTACAATAAGAACCCAATCACAGATTTTAAATGACAACAACTTACTTAAAAATATTTGACTGGATCACTCTATTAATCAAAACCAGACTAAGATTGCATCCGCTTTAACCTTATTCTAACAAAAAACTCATTCTAAAAGAATTGAACATGCCATAACTCTCTTGTACGAGTAGCCCATCTTTTGTGACAACTTCTATTTAATAGGCTAAAGGTTAGAGGTCAATACCATATTTTTCTTAGAAGAAGCAAAGGTCAACAGTCACTGAACACTGTCGTCTCATCTGAATAAGCCAAAACCACTAATAAAACCATCAGTGAACTTCTATTACCCCCCATAAGTAAAACTTCATTATCGGACATAACAAACGGTCTTGCTCATGAGAATGTCCGATCATTAAAGGTCATGATAAACCTCTGACCCTTGACACTGTGGGGTCAAAGGTCACAAATGACTTAAAGTAAGTGTCCGGAAAGGCAATCCCTGAACTCGGTTCTCTTTAGGAATATTATCGCTATGCGCCTGTCATATTAAAGGCTGAAAAGGCTGGAGGTCTTTGAGCGAGCACACATAGACACAGGCGCTGATGAGAGTGACACGTAGAGAAAGACTAGTGTTAACCGCTAGTCTCTCAGAGAAAATTAAATATTGATCAATCCCGGAGTGAAGACGTTGGAGAGATAAGACCTGGGCATTAAAGAAAATAAATAAGTAGACACATCAAGGGAGAAGAGAGGACAGGCAATTCCACTAAAGAGGGAGATGGACAGATTTCTTTTTCCTTTTATCACTCTCAAAAGATATCTACGTCTACAGAAGGTCTTGAAGAAAAAGATGCTCGGTCTGTGTAAAGGAAAAATGAAAGAGCACCGGAATATTTTCAATTTATATAATGACTGGCGCATTTTCTTGAAAACAATCAATGCTTTTAAAACAACTGCCCTTCATTAGTTCATCTTCATTAGATCTTGCAAGGGAACAGCAAACATTGTACAGAATTATTGAACACTTAAAGGGTTAGTTCACCTAAACATACAAATGTTGTCATCATTTACTTATTTACCCATGTTGTTCAAAACGGATATGGTTTTCTTTCTTCCGTAGACAACAAAAAAGAAATGCTCCACAAACTGTCAAGCTCCAAAAATGACAAAAAAGCAATATAAAAATATCATATGCTAATTAAAATGAGGCTGTGAAAAACAGACATACAGCCCATTCAAGTTGTACTTCTGTATACCTTGGTTTCCTATGGATTATATGGTCATTTTTGGAGACTTTCATTGTATGATGAAAAGCAATGCCAAAAATTCTTCTAAGCTTCATCTTTTGTGCTCGACAGAAGAAAGAAAGTCATACAGGTTTGGAAGATTAGGAGTAATCGATGACAGAAATGTCATTTTTGGTTAAATTATACCTCCAACTGGCCTCAAACAACACTTCATTCCCCTCCATTAAAAAATATATTTAACTATAATGAGCCTGACGTTTCCCTCCATCTATTTGAGGACCGCTGCCTTTGTGACATATGTTTGGCCTCAATGCCTTTTCTGCCATTTATTTAGTGCTTTTCTTACCAACAACTCATTCAAAATATTGTTGCTCTACAACGGATCTATAAATATCTACGATCTCTCAACACAAATGATGACCGAGTCCTTCCTGGTGTGTGACCTACCCCTGCCCCCTCTGCTTCTGATATTTATTGAGCCCTCTCAGATTTCTCTACTAACGCAGAGTCTATATTACCATCCAATAAGGCAGTAAATTCAAGGCTAAAGTGGGGGAGTCATAAATACTAAAGCAGCGATATATAGGATTACACTGTTAGAGGAATGAGGAGACCAGTGTCATTGCAATCTATATATTTCTAAATAAAATAAATAGAAAAAAAAATTTCCTGTTTTTTTTTTTTTTGCTGGAACCACTCAAGCAGAAAATGACAAAAATAAAATAAAAAAGATGACAAAAAATGTCCCAAAATAATATTTTTTAAATAATTTTGATTAAGCAAATAAATAAATACCATTCCTTTCAGGACGTCCCATTAGGGCTGCACGATTAATCGAATGCGATTGTCAAGCGCATCTTGTCAGTAAAGCCAGTTCTGTGATTAGTAGTTCATAACGTCAGTCGAGTGTTTGAAATAAATCCTTCTGTGAGATGATGTGGCTTCTTACACAGAATAAGGCACGCAACATATTTCATAGTATTCTAAACAGTGATAAAGGCTATGTCGATTAGCATTGCATTATTATATACTTTATTATAATAAAAATTATAATAAGACGAACACGGATAAACCATATATTGTCGTAGTTGTGTGTTTATTAGTCACGTTGAATTAATGAAAGCAGTTAAATCTTCTGTTTATTCAGCAACTGCTATAGAGATTTCCTAGGTTTCTTCTGTGAGGCATATTTGGAGTTTCAGCAAGAGAGCGCCCTCTGGCCTTCGGATTAGGGATGTTCATATTAACCGTTAACCGACCGTATAGAATTTTGACCGATTAATACAATCAGTTAAACGGTTTAAAAGGTAATTTATTTATTTATTTTTTCAGTTATTTATCAAAATATTTTAAAATTGAATTTTTTCCTTCTAACAGTGGAAACAACTACTCCTTTTAGTCATAAAGATAATCGGAATTGTAAAAGGTTTGCCTTTTGTGTACGTACATTCACAATAAAAACAAATCTTTGTGCTTTTGTAAAATAAGCCTAAAGAAAAATAGGATGCCGCTTTTAGCCATCTGGTTTCCTTTCTCGCAGCACAAAAATGAACCAAAACTCTGCATACTAGGCTACTTGTTACAGTTTTTCTTTCATTTTCTTAATTTATTATTTAAGTAAAGATATATTTCTCGTATAGGCCTGTTCATTCGTTATATACAGTATATAGGCTATATATATATATATATATATATATTCCTTTCTAATTTAATTCAATTCTAATTTAAAACAATCTTGTCGGTTAACGGTTGATAATCGGTTAACGAGCGTCGGTTGTCGGTTAAGAAAAATAACCGAAATTAACATCCCTACTTCGGATAGAGATTTACTGCTGATCACAGAACCGTGCTTCACTGAAAGATAAGCATGACAATCGCAGCTTCTGCCTAATCGCGATTTTTCGCCTTTGCGATTTAATTTTAATTAATCGTGCAGCCCTACGTCCCATCATTCTTACATCATCAGGACTGGAGGCCTGGTAAGTGCGGTTGTCGTCGCTAAAGTCCTGGTCAGCCTCTGTGCTCTCTGGCTCTGCGCTGGCACCGTTAACACGGGATTCGTACACTGGTGTAACGTTGTGGCAGAGGGCGATGGCTTTCACGGCCTCGTGGATCCGGCTACTCACGCTCTTGCGGACCTTCGGAGCAGACGGCTGTGATTTACAAGAGGGTGTTGAACTCGCACTATTGCCATTAGACTGCACCGAGCTCACCTGGAGAGACACAAAGTTGAAATAACAAGAGTGCGCTTTAGCTTGAGAAATAACATTTGTTATTAGAAATATTTGTTTCAAAAAAGTATTCAGTTCAACACATTTAAAAAGTCAGTTAAATGATGAAGTTATGTCAGAATCTGATAACGTCGTCATGTGTAGTATAAGAACGGCGGACTGGTCAGGAAGTGTATACTGATAATTCATCTTCCTGTGCTCTCTCAGTGTCAGGACACATTGGGCAAAAAAAAAAGCGTGAAGATTTCATCAGTGTCTCCCCACACAACGACGTTGAAATCCCACCCTGACTCTGAAACTTATCAATTTACATAAGCACCACTGTGAGTCTTCGTGTGTGTGTGTGTGTGTGTGCTTGACAGGGGTTGCTGTGCTCCACTGGAGCAGGAGATTTCTCTTGATGAACTCCTCTTTCCTTAGAGCTTTGCCGAGGGGAAGAGATGACAACCTGCACACAGCCTTCAAACTGCAGATGAAGGTACATAAAAACACCCCACTGCTGGCTCACTCTCTCAGAATTAAAGTATGTTAGGTTCCTGATTTGACAATCTGAATATGTATATAAAAATACAGTAAATGTGTAATAAGATATATGCACAGTCAGCCAGTTGTAAATAGGCATGTCATATTGACTGGAGTTAAAAATGCCCCTTAATTATTACATTTATATTCCATTTGCTGTCATGTGACACTGACTTAATCTTTAAAAACATTAATTTAATCATATTAACTATAATCTCAAAATGAATATCTATTTTTATAATATACATTATAAATGCTGTGATGTCTAAATTCACTTGCAGAATTTAATTATCAGCTTTTTGGCATTATCAAGAATTTTAATATTGGTGTTCTCTATATATTTATATTTAGTAACATCATATTTATTATGCAAGAAAGAGAAGAACACAGTGATACAGCAAAAAAACTAGCACTGTGTAGGAAATCAGTCAGTTTTCAGTTTAAATCAAAAAGCATTTGAGTGACTAAATAACCAGAATTGGCAAAAAAAAATTATATCTACAAATATACAACAGCGTTTACATATACAGTTCTACACTATTCGGAGGTCCTGCTCCTCTCTGAATTTTCTCAAGTTCATATTAACTAAAGTTCAGTGCCACAAAATGAACACACCTGGCCTTTTAAGTTCAATTAATGAAAAAGCTAAGTTTAAAGCCACAACAACGCTATTAGAGTCAAAAAATGCTTGTGAACTGAACTGTTAATTTTCTCACCTTTTTCATTTTCATTTAGTGCCACAAAAATGTCATACTTCACCTTTCCAGTACAATTTTATGGAAAGCTAAGAATGCTATTATAGAGCCACAAAAAGCTTGTAAATTGAAGGTTTTAAACTGAACCACATCGTCTACATATAAATATCAAATTTTGACATTTCAAAACACAATTTGAGTTCAAAATCCCAGTTGGACAGGCAAGAACACTCTGTACACTCACCCCGTCTCAAAAAAGACGACGGGGTTTGCCCTCTACAAAACAACAGCTGTTTTTAATAGTAATTTCTTTATACTCATAACACTCCAGAAAGAATGGGAGCTATAACTGCCTAGTGCACACCAAAGCATGTTAAGCTGTAAATTACATTATGTTTATTGATTCCTGTCAAACTCAATTTCACAAGTTGTTGGACACGGACTCTGACACGTCCTGAGGGGGGATATAATAAGGCTATGATAGCTCATATCATGGGTACATTTCAAACCTGCCAGCCAGTCCATCATCACAGTAATGAAGGACCATGAAGCATGAAAATCAATTGCCACTGTGGCTTTAACACTGTGTCACCCAGCTGTTGGCACAAAACGTGCACACACACATCAAAGACGACAGCAGTTAGTGAAGGATGTGAAACTCCTTAAGTTTCCTCTATAGTGAAAGCGATTGTCTTAATGGTGATGTATAAGGTGACGCATGTCAATCACACCTGAGCGTAGGACTGGATGATGTGACTCTGGATCTCATCCATAGTGTCCATCCCGTATGACACAGTACCGAGATGGAGGCGCTTGAAGACCATCTCGTTCTGGGTCAGAGTGCCTGGAAAAACAGCACACAAAGATTAAGATCAGGAGAGAAATCAATAGTTATTATAAAGCTTTTGGATGGGCAGAGTGGTTTCAACACAAAGAAAGAGGGAGAAAATAAAACAAGGAAGAGAATAGCATAAAATAAAAGTACCTGTCTTGTCTGTAAGCAGGTAGATCAGACGGCCAAGTTCTTCTGGGATGGTGCTTGTCCGAACCACAGTACCTGGAATATTCTCATCCTTCATAATCATCCAGCCGTACGCTGACTTCCCCATGTCCAGGTTTACTCTTAGACTACACACACACACACACAAAAATGTCTAAAAAATGTTTGTTCTTCTCATTTCACACTGCTGATGATTTTGCTGTAATATTTTCACATAAGTGTGATCTGGGTGATAATATTATAAACATACCTGATGGGGATGATGTATGAAAATAAAACCACGAAACGGAACAGGTTTCGGAACCAGGGCCCAAGGAATCCCTGCAAAGCCACCATAACAACAGACAGAACCACCTGAGCCAGGAACAGAGCTTTTGTTAGGCGGTTTAACTCCAGGTCCAATAGTCCCACCTGCAGAGGAAGAGATGAGAAAGTCTGAGATAAATCAAACTGAAAGTTTTTGTGTGCTTTAATAAGTGTTTAAACTTACATTTTAGTAAACAAGTAAGAGATAATGTACATTCAGCTGGTCATTATCACTGTAAATCAACCTGTGAAGGTGTATTTTGCAATAAATATTGAATGACTGTACATTATTATGAGTATAACATGGCTAGTATAACATGAAAATCTAATTTACGCATTTTATTTATTGATTTAAGTGTTTTATTATGTGAAAATAAACAAGCCATAATGTGATAGGTGAGTGGAACTAGCTTAGTCAATTATACATATGCCACTGACTAATCAGAATTAAGCACTTTAGTATTTTAAGAATAGTAAATACATTCAGAAATATATAGTAATGAATATTCCCAGGGAAACTTGTTTTTAATCATTTTTACTGGTTGTTTATAACGCACTCCAAAAAAAGTTCCCAAAATGAATGAGTATTTGGTTAAAGCTCTCTTATCCAAAGCATGTGATATCCCCTCTGAGAACAAGAACCTTGAGGGCTCCTCTCATCTGAAGTGATCCGAAATGTTACTCTTATGAAAAATAAAACAACCTGCCCATAAGCCAGCACTGATCAATGCCCCCCAGGCCTGTTCCAGACTGCAGACCTTTCTCATGCTAATAGTGTATGTGGAGGAGAGGAGAGATGAGAGGCATTTAACCAAGAAGCCCACTGCTGTTGTCGTCTCTCTGTGAAAAGCACAGGAGGCAAAACCGGAAAAATAAAAGCAGAACGCCTCTTCATAGAAACGGCCCCTGACAAAAGAGCTGGAGTTTTCCCCTTTTTCTCTCAAGTATGTCCCCTCAGCCAATGAAATATGTGGGAAAATGATGTCAAAAAAGAAGTTTTTCTTGTTTCCCTCTGGCGAGGGCCGACAGCGTGGCCTGCGCAAAAACACTGAGGTCTTTCATCTAGGCAGCGCGCTAATAAAAACAGCAACACATAACACCGTCCCCTGAGAAAAGGAATCTGCGTGAAAGGGACGGGGGAGGGGGAGAGAGGGGATGGACAAATTGAACAGAAAAGACAAAAAAAAAAAAAATGCAAGCAAAATTAATCCCCCAACTGCCTACGGCCCCCAGTCCCTGGAGGACTGAGTAAACTGGGAGACACTGGGAGAGAAGAGCTGCTGTCTGATTTATCAGCTGTAGTTTAAAACCCCTCCGATGGCCTGCCGCCCCACTCCGAGCTTCATGCTTCAGCTAGTGAGGAAAAAGGGGGGAATGGAAGGATTAAAATGAAGAAAAATTAAGACAGAAGACATAGTTCCCCAGCTGAAAGGGAGGAATCCCCCTTTATGGGGGCAAAACAATGCGGAGGCTAAATTTTGCAAAGCTGGCCAGGGATCGGGTGAAGCTGTTATTCATTCAGCCCGAGAGGAAAAAGCGACTCAATTACCTCAAGCTGAAGATGCTATCAATGAATCGAGAGTGCATATTTTACTCTATTCATCCGGGCCTCGTTTAAAGTGAAAGGAATGATTCAACCTGCCCTCGCTGCCTGTATGTTTTGTGTGTGAAATTTGATGACAACTTTGTGCCTGCATAATGAATATTCATTGGTTGAAATCCATCAAGTATACAGAGGCTGTTACAACAATATGGCATTATGCTAGTGCCCCAGAAACTGGATATGCAATACAGCTAAATGGAACATGCCATCCACGGTGCAGGACCACAGACGAGGTCTTGAGAAGTTTCTTCACTTTACCAAACAAACTTATCAACTAAAATGATCAAACTTAAACTGAATATTCAAAAACTGTATCATATTCACAGCTTATGTGTCTCAAATATTTGATTCATTTTGGTCAATCACTGCATTCTTTGGTCAAATACTTTTATAAAACAACCACTAAACTGCGTAATTGGCCATTGTCCCTGGCTAGCAATAACTTAATATTAACTTAATACAAAAAATATCTATATTTGATGTTCATTTATTAATTGATTTGGTAAGCAGTGTTTAATGTCACACAGTTACAGCATTTCATAACTTGTTAAAGTTTTAAAGATATTTTGTCAGAGCTGTTGTAATTGCTCATATGTAAAGCTGAAAGTTTGAATCTGACTTGTAATATTTTCCTCTTGCCACTCTCCTTCCAGGAACTTTACGAAAATTTTTTTTAATAAATAAAAAAAAAAAAAATGTAAAAAAAAAAAAAAAAATCCAACTGAGCTCTACATTGTTTATAAATAAAATACATGCATCCGAGTATCTGCATTGCTTAAAAATAAATAAATAAATAAAATAAAATAAAAAATCCAGCCAAACACCTACACTGCTTAAATATATCAGTGATTATAACACCTAAAGTAGTGAGCAGTGTCTGGTCAGCGAAGAGGGTTGTTCAACCCTTTGTCACATCCTACAGACCACCAAGGTTTCGATCCTCAAAGAGAATATCGTTCCATATTACGACAATGACAGATACACACACACGTGTAAAGTGATAAGTGATAGCTTATGTGCTGTCAGCAGCTTCTAGTGAGAGCTTAGAGCTTTGTGCAAGGAATGTCACAACAGATTATAAGAGGCGAAAACGTTCTCAGTGACTTTCGCCGAGTCGTATCGACTTTCCCACCGCGTCTCGTTCCCTGTATTGGCACCTCTGACATCATCTCCTTGAGATATTGAATTCCACTCTCACACACAGAACATGGTAGAGCTATGAGCTCCGCCAGAGCTGCTGCTATCACACACATCTTGCAGCATCCATGACAGGGTCTGAAACACTTCATGACATGAAGAATAGTGGTTAACCAATATGGGTTTCTCAGATGGTTTTTGTGATGCTGATATCAAGCACACGGGCTGATAGCTAGCTAATTAAATGATGAACACAATTTAGAAAAAAAATTAAATGCACTTAATTAAATGATTAAATCCATTTAATAACATTTACTTCAACATTTACTCAAAAGTTACAGAAAATCCAAATTAAACATTAACAAATTTGACACTAGAGGGAGCCAAATGATATTGGCAAAATAATGATTGTTTTCATACAGGTTTCCCCAAACACTCTCCTCATCTGCCTTTGGCAAGAAACAGATACCAGATGTCAGGGTAATTAGGATGATTAAATAATGTTTACGCTTCAGAAAGAAATCAACCTACTGTTAGATTATAGTTGACCTTACATTTTAAACAAAATAAAAATATAATGAATAGGATACAGCATTTTATCATCCACAAAATTACACCTGATTTAAAACATTAACATCATACTGTTTTAAGACCAATCATGTCATGAAAGGAAACAGAGCTGGGGAGATAAATCTATCATGGATTCAAACAGTTTTGGACATTGATAATAACAATTTTTTTTTTCTTGAGCACCAAATCAGCATGTTTCAATGATTACTGGAGGATCATGTGACATTTGACACTGGACTAATGGCTTCTGAAAAATTAGCTTTGCCCTCACAGGAATAAATCACTTTTTAAAATATATTAGAACAGAAAACAGTTATTTTAAATTAAATAATATTTCACAATGTCACAGTTGTACTGTATTTTTTATCAAATAAATGCAGCCTTGTTGAGCACAAGAGACTTCTTTTAAAAACATTACAAAATCTTATCGACCCCACATTTTTGAACAGCAGTGCACATACAAGTAAAACAGTGTCAGAGCTCTGAACCATGTGGATAAGTGTAAAAAAAAAAAAAAGCCAAAGACAGCAGGGGTCAGTTAAGGGAGGGGTAATGAGTGTAATGGGATTTGACGTTTTTAAGTTTACTTTTACAGCATTGACGTCCACTGTATCTAATCATTAAGGGGAATTCTGCAGGATTAAGGCTCTGCCACAAATGTCACGCAAGCCCTTGGTTGGTTAATTTCCCTCTAGATTAATCTCTCTGGGGTTGTCCTTTCACATCGACAGGTCCAAATTCGTCACTAAGATCAGGGCTGAAAACCACCTCAACGGTTCGCTATTTTTATTCGCTTCGTTTCAAGTTTATATTGAAAGGTTAAAGGGAAAAACAGTCTCTGGGCAATGTCTAGTGTGTATTGACTGCAACTGCAGATATCACAGCTCATACTTATATGTCATTAAATTGTGTTTTTTCTTCTTCAAACAATTAGCCTTTGGATGGAAATCTAATTAAAGAAACCAAGTATTTAATTTATAAACACAAACAACGACAAACAAACCCACCTTGTTTTTGGACTGCGACGTGTTTAGCACGCTTCTCATTTCTTTTCCCGTATATATGACCACACCTATGACAGTACCTGAAAAAAAAAAAAAAAGAACAAATGGGATGACTGATTGCAAACGGACGACGACAAATAAACCGGCCGTGTGTCTCTGGCCAGCCTAATGAACAATTAGCTCAAAAAGTGTGTTTCCAGTTAACGGATGCAGCTGAGACTCAGACAAATGATTCAATATGTGGGACACCCAGAAATAAACCATTACAATGAGGCCTATTATAGTCAGATCAATGGTGCTGCTTTGGTAATGGACTGATTCATTAAAGTAAACTAATTACTGATGGAGTATGCGGCCTCACCGCTAAACGAGGAAGCGGCGAAGTCCAACTTTTGTTTAAACACAGTAACACAATATAAAACGTGCTTAAATATTTCTTGATTTCTTTAAGTTCGACATATTGTTTCATGTTTGGAAAGCAACGAAACCTAGGCTGCCCTCAAGGGGGTCTTTAATGGGCTAGGACTACAGGGCATATCGGTTACTCGCCCCATGGTGTTTTGTGTTGGGTCTGCTCAGTTGGATGGGATGACGTCACCAGACTGTGGTGGGGAGATATGGAAGATATGGACTTTGTGGGGAGATATGGAAGGACTTTCTCCGGCTGAAGGTCACACCATGGTGGGGAATAAGAAGAACCTCTAAAAACCCCTGGAGAACCAAGACAGGGGCAACCACAGATCAATGAAGGGCCGATTGCTGGCACAAACGCAGGCCGCTTAAAGGAATAGTCCGGCTATTATTGTTGGACTGGGATCAGATTCTAAACAACAGACCCCTAGGAGATGTTGGAGAAAGCGTAGTGGCAAAAACCGATCTCGGACCTGTTCTTTAGGGACATGTTTCATTGACACCGCAGGGACAGGACTGCAAAAAGCCAGACACTTTGGCTTCCCATTAACGGCTCCTCATATTTCTCTGCTCATGAGATTGTTTGAATAGTAGCAGATGAGTCTGGCGATCTCAAGTGACAAACAAACGGGAGAACGAAGGGGGTCTTGAGTGATGCTGGCGGATCGCCTCGGTATCAACGGCACACTCTTCTACAACACAATAAACTCAAAAGATATTTGACCTGTGATGAATATTTCAGACCTCTGAGGCTTGTGCTTTTCTTATATTTCCATGAAAGAAATTTGGGGCTGGAAAAGACTTTGCTTACCAGATGCCACCACAGTGCTGGCCCACAGGGTGTTCTCAATGCTCAAGCTCTCGTGGATGGGAGGGTCACAGTCCTCCTGGGGACAGAGGTCGTACATTAGTCCAGTCTGTTTTGATTTCATGGTTATCTAGCACAGGAAAAAGCGGTTATCAATTATGGCCTTTAAAAAGCAGGTCAATAAAAATGACAAAGACTCAAAGCACAAATAATGAATTGATGAACTTTCATCACGACGAACGGTAAGTAGGGAATTAGACGGCGGATTGAATTACACTAATGCCCGGTTAAGCGACACAGTCCATTTAGAGGGAACGGTGAAATCGGTTTGACTTGATTTGCCTTGTTTACAAAAACAGCGCCATGCTGAACATCATAATAAGGCCTCGTTTAGTGTTAGCACGCTCTGTGCTGAGCAGAACAGAACAGGCCATAAATCAGGGTAGAAGCACAGAAATTAAATCTTTAAATGCTTTTTTCCACATAACATGTTGCGGCTGGGTGAATACGGATGATATCTAATTATCCTCTGTCAGTAGGGCATAATATACAGTGAGAAAGAGGGCCACACACATTGCAGCTGCCGAGACATGCGCATTGTCGCAGATAGCAAGAGAGATGTGTCCTCTATTTAAGACGGCCCACTTGTTCTTGTCATTTGTCTTTTTCTGGCCAACAGATGTAGCAATGCCAGCCTGTCAGATTGGCTAAAACTGGAAAGAGGTTCATGAAGAGAAAATGCCTTTTATCAGTGATAAGGCTCAAAGAAATGGGAGTGTTTTAACCCATAAATCATAATTCCATACTTACGATAAAACTTCTATGAAACTTTTAAGTATAATTATAAGTTTTAGTTAACATGGAAAGAAACAGTTCCAAGATGTGCATTCATAATTCTTTTCTGCAGCAGTGAATCTGACAGTTTAATGAGAAACATTTGGCTGCATCATATTTAAGTCATAAAACGGTCATAACTTAAAGGAATAGCTCATCCAAAAATGAAAATGTTGTCATTATTTATTGTTCTAAACCCGTATGACTCTATTCTTTATCTGGAAGATAAAAGACGATATTTTGAGAAATATCTCTGTTTTTGTCCCTACAATGGAAGTTAATGCTCATCAAAATTGTTTGAGTACAAATATTCTTCAAAATATCTTCTAATGTGTTCAACAGAAGAAACGACGTAGATTATGACATCATTTTCATCTTTGGGTGAACTACAGCAAATACATTTACAGCAAATACATTTATTTAGCTATAAAAATCAAGATATATTTATTTATTTCATTATTTTTACACTACCACAGTTTGGTTTGGGGTCTCTCTCTCCGTGTGTGTGTGTGTGTGTGTTTCAAATAAATTCTGTTCTTTTGAACTTTCTATTCATTAAAGAATCCTTAAAAAAAAAACTGTATCAAGGTTTTGCTAAAAACATTTAGCAGCACAACTGTTGTAACAGTTTTTAAAATTTGTAATAATACTGTATATTTAATCAAATAAATGCAGCCTTCGTGAGCATTAAAGACTTTAAAAACCGTGCAGACCGCAAACTTTATATATGTATAACTTCATGAACTGTATATAAAGCTAATAGTAGAAATCAACCCTAAACCATAACCTACCACTAAAAGAAAAGTTTTCATTTATAAATCATTATGCAATTGTTTTATCTCCAAACGAGAATGTCGCCGAATTTCCCCATTGTATAGCTAAATAAACCCACACTCACACCTGTTTAAATACAGAGGCATACAGACAAGAGTAAATAAAATTAGCAGTGAACGCGCAGGCATCAGGACTGAAATGGACTGACCTCTCAGCTACTAACAAAGATGTGCGTGCACGTGACTGCCATTTAGAATAATCATATTCGCATTTACATTTATAGATTGTTGTATCCAGAGTGACTTACAAATGAGAATAATACAAGCAGAAGCGATCAATCAAGTGATTAATCAATGGATTAAAATGTCATGGTAAGGGGCTATTGACATTGGAACCATAAAACTATTAAAGGGACAGTTCACTCAGAAATGAAAATGTTGTTATCATTTACTCACCCTCATGTCATTCCTAACTTGAATGGCTTTTACAGTGCTTTTTGTCATTTTTAAGCTTGACAGTCCTAGTGCTCATCCACTTTCATTATATGTAATAGAGAATATTCTTCAAAAACACATCTTTTGTGTTCCACAGAAGTAAGAAAGTTCAAAACATAACGGTGAGTAAGTAATAGCAACATTTTTGGATTAACTACTCCTTTAAATAAATAAAGCACTGAAGTGGCAATAAGGTGCAGCAAGTGTGCGGGTAGTAAAGAACTGTGGGAAACAGTGTTTGGAAGTGTGTCCCTGTAGCTGCAGATTTGTGAAAGCAGGCTCAGGAGGGTGACTCAGCGCAGGAAGTGATCTTCTGCCCCTGCATGCTGTGTGGCCAAGAGCGAAGACTTCAAACAAAGACAGGCTTTATGTGGGGGGTCCCTTTTTTCCTTTTTTTCCTCCCTCTCTCCTTCTCCGGTACTGCGCTAATCTGCTGTTAATAAGGAACTGTGCTCGGCCAATGGGCTGGGAGCGAGCCTAACAACCCGTGATGTCATCAGTGTTGCAAGGAATGCGTCTCGTTGGCCGGTTTTACATTCCAGAGACACTTCAGCTCATAGTCATGTGAACAGGCACACTTTGAGAATCCATGTTATTTTAATGTGCAATTAAAAACAGCGGTTAGGTTTAGTTTAATGGGCAACAACACAACATTAAATACCTCTACAAAAAGCTAACAGCGGGTTTAAATTGGGGCCGTGACGTCACAGCTCATGCTAAACGAAGCCTCGTAAAAATTCCTTCATTAACAGCAGTTTTTCTTACCCTTGTGAAGTTCCCCTCAAAACTGTGAATGTCCAGCTGAGGCTTCTGGGCGTAAACGTACGCGCTGACAGAGAAGAGATCCTGCGGACAGCAAGCGAAAAGGTCAAGAAAAAACATGAATGCAATAAATCAGCACCAGAAATGTCATCCGACGAACTAAATTCTGGGCTCGGCCCAAACTCGACCTCTCGTTCGTGCGAGTATTATGGCAGGACTCAAAGCGACTAGCAATCAGAGCGATTCTCATGAAAATAAGCCCCTTCTGACATCCTGCCACAAGTCTGAATTTCAAACAGAACAGATAATGCAGACAAAACAACGTAATTAAAACTAAACGAAACTTTGACGGGTTGCTTACAAATTATAATGACTTTTGCATTCGATGACGTGTCCGCAAGTATGAAAAACAGGGATGTTTAGCGATCTGACCGTCAAGCCCACCAGACACCCGATCCGACCGCTCCCGCTGCTTTACTGCAGCAATCATTCGGCGACTTGCTGAAATTTTAATTCTGTGATCACATTAAGTGGTTTCGGAAAGACAAATACAAACGTGAACCCTTGCTCGAGGTGAGTGTCATCTCCACACCGATGGCACCGGGAGACAGGCCGTTTGGCGGATTCCAGTTGTCTCTTGGGGTAAAGTTACCGGCCCATGTGAAACAAACCCTCCGGCCAGTAAATCAGATACACAGTGATATCAAACATGAGCCTTCGTATCATCAGCCTGAGAGAGTCTGAGTGTGGGACACATCACTCACTGCCTACGGGGGTAAAGTTACAGACCCATCCGAGAACAGAACAGAAGGAGCTGAAATGTGATTTGGGATGCAGCAGCTTTTGCTCCAGAAGTAGATGGGTGATGATGTCTTTGACAGTTCGAATCATCTTACTGTACTATTTTTCATATGATATACTTTATTTTGAGCAATTGGGAAAAAAAAGCATAAGTCCAATTTATTCCACAACTCACAGACTACTTTGGTATAAAAACATTTATATGTGCCAAGCATAAATGCACCATTAATAGACTTAAATGTAAAAGACTAGGACTAGATCATAACATTGTATTTCATACAAGAAGTCAAGCTTGCTGCACTTGCCAAATATTTGTATAATTTATTATTAACAGGTATTAAAATCATGGCAATATCGAATATGTACTGTTTTTGTGCAAGACGAGGCTCATACCCCTAAGGCAGGAAGTCTTTGAGTGCAAGCAACAGTGATTCGCAGCTTCCAGTCTGTCTCTCCATCCAGCTGATCTGTTCTAATAAAACACGAACCTGGAAAACAAAACATTATCTTAAATCTGACGGAAAAAGATATACTTTATATAAAAATCAAATATTGGACAACATCCAATAATCTATTCTGGTGTATTATCTTTATTTACAGACAGAAAAGTGAGAGGACTAAAGACAAATGCGTGAAGGATGCATTTGTTATGGGCCAAAACCTTGGCCCCTATTCACTAAAGAACTCTGAAGGCTTAACATATTGTTCATATTGATCTTGGACAAGACTGATATAACAGTAGGCAGTAGACAGGAAAGGTCATTGTCTTTAAGCTCTCAGAGCAAAAGCTTCAGTGTTCATCATGCTCCATATACTGAGATTACCAACATTATCAAACCTTGCTGAGGCACAACCTGTAAAAACATGTCTGGGTCATATTTCTTAAAAAACAATTTTATATATATATATATAGCATTTCAAGAAAAGAAAGAAATTGGGGGAATTGTAATAGATAAGATTATAATCATTTTAAAAAAGGACCCTAAAATAGACTTCACTGACTTTCTGTAAAAATTTGATAATAAATTATGCTGGGTGAAATATAGACATATTCTTCACATTACAGTATTCCATATACAACTCATAAGAGCATCTGCTCACTAAGACATGGTTAACGAATAAAAAATATATATATTTTAATTGTCCATTAATTGACAATTTAATTGTCCATTTTGACACCCAGCCAATTGTCATTTTGTCCATTCAAAAATTAATCAATTCTGAAAATATGTATAGATATGGAAAATCTGAAAATATTTATATACCAAAAAAACTCTAACAAGCAAACATGAGAAATGGAATTAAGCTCAAATTTAGAACATAAAAGACTGAAAAGTGTTTTAAAATATTCTTTCCAAATTGTTAAAAATCTTAACATTTAAGTAACTTTAAAGAGCTATAGAGTCTACACAGCTTAAAAACAAAACAAAAAAAAACAGAAACACTGCTTAAGGACATCAGATAAAAGCAAAAACATTTTTAAAGCTCTTCTGATTTTAGCATCTGGAGAAAGCTGTACACTCCAAAATACTGTAATAATGTATCATAATGTGACTTAAGTCATTTATATGGCTCAGTGCCGGGTAAACACTGGTAATCATACACACTCTCTCACTCTCACACAGAGAACATTGTTACTCAGTATGCAAGAATTAAAAGTGCCACTTTAAGCTAGTAAGTGAAGCACCAGCAGTGTTCACTTCAACAAAATATCAAAACCAAGAGGCTCTTAAAGTATACTTTTCAAGAGAAACATCTACCTTATCAAAAGATAAAACAATAGATAAACTGTTAAAAATTAAGACAAAGCATTTGAACACTTTGTGGTTATAAAACGTTAGTGGAACGTGCATAGTTAATCCGATGAACTAATTGTTGTAAGACTTTATAAATTTGCTAAGAACAACTGTTATCTAATTTTTTATATGTATAAGAAAATTAAGTAATAAAACTTCTATTTATAGAATGAGCTCTACAGGTTCCATATGGGCTACAAGGTGCCTGCGGGCACACTGTTTGAAACCACTGACTAATGACACAAGTAGTTATCGTCTGAAACGCCTGAAAGCTTCGCTTGTATGTGAAGAGTGAAACTCACCATTCTTCTCTGATGTTCTCAGAAAAATCATATCAGCAGGAATTCTCTGATTCTATAAAACAAAACATTACTCATCAGTCAGAGGCACATGGGGTTTCCATACTATCCACCTAGACTTGCCCACCTAGGCAGCTTAGAATCTTAAGAGATATTAATATATTAGTTATGCTGAACTTAGCAATAATGTGGGCATATACGTATGTTATTGACTCCAGTTCTGTAACGTTAGTCCTATTTTAGCGTTGTGTTGAATAATTGAACAAGGTCATTTCCCTAGCAAGCAATTAAAGCGAACCACAGACAGTGAGGGGAGAGACAGACACAATGTCCCACTGAAAGAATGACAGGATTTCATGTGATGGATCACATAGCAGCAAGTTTATGCTGATACCTTGAACAACAAAAGAGAGGAAGGGATAAAAAAAAAGGGACAACAAACCTTCTCCACAATGATTAAATCTCCAACCTGTATGTCTGAGCTCTTTACTTGGACCTTCCCTGAAAAATACGATGGACAAATAATTGTAATTAGAAATGAATTATTTAGCCGTAGGTAATAAATTAGCCCTGCGTCCAAATTTATATTAAATAAATACACTTTTTAAAATGATAAATATTATGGTTGACAAAGTTAACATATCAAAAAGAATAAACAGTTTGTGTGATTTTTCTAAAAATTGCTCAGAACATTTAGAGCTGACTGAGACTGAACAGAGCCACTAAGATTTCACACACACGCAGACAAAAGCCCCAAGCAGATTACCCGTTTCCCACTAGATGGAGAAAGACATTTTTTATGGATAATTTATTCATAAATTAAACCCAGACAGGGTGTTTAACAAAAGTCATTTGCATTCTTTGTATGGTGAAATTGAATTATCATTGAAGATCAACAAGTGACATGTCGCCCAGGAGTGAAACAGAGGCATGGACCATTACACATGCAATATTCCTAAAGTTAATAAATTGCATATTTGCATAAAGTTACTGAATTGCATATTTTCTGTGCTATTTGATGTAGTTTGACCAGTGAGACGAGTGACATCAATACAAGTAAGTCAAACCCAATAATTTAATGTTATTTAGCTCCCTTTCACTAAAAAGGAAATAAATGTTAATAAAAAGATCAATAGAGATTATATTAAACCAATGATATAATGCATAATTTCCATTATTTTACAACAAGTGCAAAACCTGAAATAAACAATTTTAGATGTCTAAAACAGCACAAATCCCCCCCCCCTTGGAGTCAATGGAGCTCAAACAGGATGATCTGTGTATATGGCATAATATCATCAGGATGTGTCATATTGTGGTCACCTCTCACTGTGAGTTTACTGTACAGCTGGGAATTCATCTCTTTATCTCTCCTGCAGCGCCGAACTTCGTCAACTGCCTCTCTCACCATGGTGACAGCTAACACAAAGCCCTAGACAACAAGAAAAAAAAGGAACAACAAGAATGATGATTGAAATTACATTTTTGTGTTCAACTCCCATCTTTGTATGGTTAGATGTACTCACCAGCGGGGCCCAGTAGGTGTACAAATATCCTATCTTCAGCGATGGAACAAACTGAGAACAAGCCACTACCAAAAAATACAAGTTGAGGAAGAACTTAAACTGCTGGTAAAGAACCTAAAACAAAAGAAAGAGAAAGCACCAAAAATAAATAATCATCATGCCTTATATTTGATGAAGATTTGATCATATAACCATGACAAATTGAATCAAAAAATGTAAGGTAATTGACAGTAATACATACACATAACATTCTAACACAGCTTTTGGAGGTACACCTGATTGGCTTATACATAATTAATCATACAAGCTGCAAATTCTTTGCCAAGGGCACATACAGAAGGCGCGTTCCACTGAATAAGACATCGCCAGCAGTCATAATACAGTAGATCACTTACACACTCAGTGGAAAAAGATACGTTAGATTGCTGTTACACCCCCTTACTTCACAGCTAGTTACACATTAACCTGATTACTGAGCAAATCTGTTGTGCGTACAATGGGTAGAGATTTCACTTTAAACAGCCTAGCGAGAGCTGCACAAAAAAAAGAGTTCTGCACATTTGAAAAGAAAATGTCAAATAAAAGACTAAGACTAAAATAAAAACATAAAAATGAAATTAATTATAAATAATACTGATAAAATAACAAATATATAAAAACAGCAATACAAAATTTCACAAATATTAAACAAAATATTCTTCTTTTTAGCTCAATTTTAGCACTCTCGGAAACCAAAAAAAACATGCAGAGATAGTTTATACTGCCTTACCCCTGGCACAAAAGTGACAATGTTGTATTTCTGATTCTTGATGGCATTTTTGGGGTACTTCTCTTCACATTTCTCAGGATGCCCCAGCCACACCGTCCGAGCTTTCAGCTCCTTCTTCCTGCGACATGTGTGAACCAGACATTCGCAACAGCTGCGTGACAGAGACCACGGGAGGAAAAAGATCATCCAGTGATTAGACAAATTCACTTAAAGGAGGACACAGTGCTACAGGCGCAGTTCAGGCCTGGATTCCAGTAAATGGTCTTTATTTAAAAATATCCCTGACCGAATAATTAACAAATATCAAGGCTGGTCATTACTCCTAATTTAAGGGTTGCACTGAAAACCGGTGATTTTCTTGAATTATCACCCTGTTAATCACTTAAAACGCTCTTGAAAACGAACACTGAGACCTTTTGCGGAATTCATCACCAGCCGCGCGTATCCAGTTGATTCCACTTGAAATACAACTGACGTTAATGCAACATTATTGTAAGTGATGTTACAGAGAGCGAAGACAGCCTAGCTCAGTCTAGTTTGACTTGAACTTTAAGCAGATACACAGAACACTTCCACCAAGAAGACTGAAACGGTAGAGCTAGAAAACAGTAAAAGAAGAGTACGGATGTGAAGGGAAAGTTTTGAGATGGATTTAAATGTGGATTTCTGATCACAAACTCATTTTGCTTCCGTAATATGAAATATTTGACAAATGATGAACTGTGCATAGTAAAACCAAGAAGCCTTATGAAAAGTGGGTTAGTCAACTGAAAATACTACACTTATTGATTAGAATAAAGTCTAGAAAGTAAATAAGCAAGGGAGTTGAGGATGCATATCATTTTGTGAACGACAAACATTTCAAAAATCATCTGAGGCTGCAGATTCTATGCAGTCCTTGCGATACCTAAAGAGAACAACAAACCTGTAGATGACGTCCTCTGTCACCCCCTGCCAAATAAACCCCTCCCTACTAAAACGAAAGCTCTGATTCGCTGTGAAGGTCAGAGAGAGCGCCAAACACTTTGTTGACCTTCATATTCATTTTATATTCTAGCGGTTGCCATCCCCGGTGAACGGCGTGACGGTACTCTGCCGGTACTCTGCGCAGTGTACACAGTCATGGCGATTGGTTTGGCTGGCACTGAACTAAATTACATAAACCTTGAAAAAAAAAAATATATATATTTGTGTTGGCCCCTTCTGTCTCCTGTCTGTAAGTGCCAGCGCCCTGATTCATAAGAGAGATTATTTGCTCAAATGAATGTAGTTCAAATAATAGGGCCGTTTGAATAAGCAAAGTTATTCTGCTTGAATTATTTGTTGATTTCATAATCCTTTGCCTAAGCACACAGAAAATTACTGGAAAGCAGCAAACTGGTCAGCTGTGCGAAATCCCATTTGTTCATTAGGAGAAGAAAAAAAAAATCAATACCCAGCTTACAATTGAGATGCGCTGCTGATAATGTAGCGCATAAGTGGAGAAGAGTCAAGCACACACACTTTCATAACAATAAATGACTAATATATGTCACTGATGCCACACAAAAGGCATTGAGATATTGTGGGAATGCAAGTCCAAAATAGACATTCAGCTTGTTGACATCGTTGGCTGGATAAGCAAATTTTCGGTTGGCGTGTTTGACCTTCTGACTGATGATGCGCAGAGAGCACCTCAACCAAAAAACAGGACCTGTGCTTGTGTGTGTATTTCATGCACAGTTACCGGTGCGTTAGAAAGGAGCTGAGCCAACCTGGCACAAGCACTACATACACACACAATAGGCTCCATGACAATGGTGACATTTTATTAACAAAAGGTGAAGGCCAAGATGGTTTCAGAAAAACATCTATCTGTCTATCTAGACTGTCAATCAATTAAAAAACAAAATCAAATTAATAACATGATATATTAATCAAATAAAATCACAAGCAATCACATATATCCATCTTTTCTGATAAAAGCCCACAAATAAAGACAATTCAAAGACAATTTTATTTTCATGTCATTGAAAAAAATCATAATCCACAACAAGGTGCAGTAACTTTGTTTATTAAAAGCATGCACCACAGTTCTGTTGTCTGCTGCTTTAAAAGATTGAGCTCTTTTTTGTTTTTATCACTCTTCAACTAGAAAAAAAAAATCTTAATGTGATTTCAACAATAACGTTCCCCTGTGTTGTTAGGCCACGTGTCCACCAAAGCATTTTTCCATATTTTTTTCAACTGTTTTCAATTGAAGCGCACGTTTTTTTAAATGCCAGGAGCATTGCTCAGCGTTTTTTTTCTCGCCACCGAGAGTTGAAGATTATTGATGAAGAATGAAAGAAAACGCAGCGCTCATCACTGTCAATTTTTAGTCAGCCGTCCAATCAAAGTAGAGGATGGGCAGGACAAATTCCACATCCTCCTTGTACAACAGCAACAGACGACAACAAGAAGCACAACAACGGAACAAAATCATTTAAAACAAGGGCCAGATCAAGTACTTTATATTGTGTCAACATTTTAATATACTAGTTACACTTCTGCGGATATTCCATATCATTGCACCCAAAGTGTCTTAACTGAAAAAAATAAATAAATAAATAAAATGCTGCACCGCAGAAGCGCTCTCAAGCACTCACAGCTAGGCATTTTCAGCTAGTTAAAAATGCTTTGGTGGACACACTGCCTTATGGTTACAAATGAGGTATGGACTTCCCTGTTCTGATAGAATTAGAATGCTTAATAAAACTTTATAGTTATAATTATCGCCCTTGACATGAACAGGCCTTTACAGTCAAGACCAAACTATATGCAGTCGAGTTTTAAATCAAAGGCCATTCACAAAGAACAGGTTCTCATGATATTTTTTAATTGCTGGTCTTTGTAAGTATCCATCAGATAACCAATGCATTATGTATTGCATTTTTGTGACACACAGTCAAGTTAAAAAAGTGGTTCATGCTAGATAGACAAAATACTAATTCTAAATGACTAATTTAAAGGGTTAGTTCACCCAAAAATAAAAATTAGCCCATGTTTTACTCACCCTGAAGGCATCCTAGGTGTATATGACTTTCTTCTTTCAGACGATTCCAATTGGAGTTATATTAAAAATGATCCTTGCTCTTCCAAGCGATAGAATGGCAGTAGGCAGGTGTTTTTTTTTTTCAACAGTCCGTAAGGCAAGGCAAGGCAAGTTTATTTATATAGCACATTTCATACACAATGAGAATTCAAAGTGCTTTAAATAAAAGGAAGTAAAATAATCATTAATCCTAATGATCTGAGTGGTCTGTTAGGTTTATATTCAGTAAGCATATCTGCAATTTATTTAGGTCCTAGGCCATTGAGTAGGGATGTAACGATTAACTAATCAATCCTAAATGTAACTGGAAGCCAGTGTAAGGACCTGAGGACTGGTGTGATATGCTTAGATTTTCTGGTTCTTGTCAGAATCACGGCAGCAGCATTCTGTATGAGCTACAGGAATCACACCAATATTCTTGACTTGATTTTTAGTTGTTTGACCCCTAGAGTCAAGGTATGCAATGACCTTGAAAATTTCATCTTTGTTTCCAAATGCAAATGACAGTTTTCTCCTTCTTTAACTGAAGAAAGTTTTGGCACATCCAACTGTTAATTTCATCAATGCATTGGCAGAGGGAGTCAATGGGGCTGTAGTCATTTGGCGAGAATGCTAGGTAAATCTGGGTATCATCAGCATTGCTGTGATAGGCAATTTGGTTCTTTCTCATTATTTGACTTAGTGGGAGCATATACAGGCTAAACAAGAGCGGTGCAAGAATTGAGCCTTGTGGGACTCCGCATGTCATGGACGTCCACTTTGACTTATGCTCTCCTATACTCACATAATAACCTCTCCCTTCTAAGTATGACTTGAACCATTTGAGCACCATCCCAGAAAGCCCGACCCAGTTTTCCAGTCTCTCTAGTAGACAAATAAAGCACATCCATCCATAATAAAACGTGCCTCACACGGCTCCGGGGGTGAATAAAGGCCTCCTGTAGCGAATCGATGCATTTTTGTAAGAAAAATATCAATATTTAAAATGTTATAAACAGTTTTCTCTCACTTCTGCTAACTGTCATACGCGGAAGCTGTCGCGGGCGGATGACGTAGGACGCATGCGCAGCGCACACGCCTGTGAGATATACTAGTCTCACGAGTTGGTTTACAGGAGCAAAGGAAGTTTCCTTATTTTAGCAAAAGAAAGCCAGTCTCCTCTTGGCTTATATCGAAATCCACTGACATTTTTCTTTACAAATCCTTGTTTTGTGCTTCTAATTTGTGACCGGCGTTTTGTTTCGCTGTCTCTCCGTCCCACTTCTGCATTCGTCACTAATCACCGGTGCATGCACTACGCCGACATCCTACGTCATCCGCCCGGAACGGCTTCTGCCTACGACAGTTAGCGGAAGTGAGAGAAAAGTGTTTATAACGCTTTAAATATGGATATTTTTCTTAAAAAACGCATCGATTCACTACAGGAGGCCTTTATTGACCCCCAGAGCCGTGTGAGGCACGTTTTATGAATGGATGCGCTTTATTTGACTACTTTTGGACTGTTGAAAAAAACACCCACCTACTGCCATTCTAACGCTTGGAAGAGCAAGGACCATTTTTAATGTAACTTCGATTGGATTCGTCTGAAAGAAGAAAGTCATATACACCTAGGATGCTTTGAGGGGGAGTAAAACATGAGCTAATTTTCATTTTTGGGTAAACTAATCCTTTAAGAGCACTTAGATATTGAAGGTAACATTTTAATGCTTAAATATTAATACGAGCTCTCACGTGGCCTGTTACCTGGTGCACAGGACCTTCCATCCACCACAGAGGAACCAGCCCAGCCCAGTCCTCTGACTCACTCTGGCTCTGGGCAGCGTCTGATAGTCACTTTCATCGTTTTCAAAAGCTTCCTCTGACATCATCAAGGGCATCTCATCAAGGTTCGAGGATTCGTCTTCAATCTGATACCTGAAACATTGTAACATTAAAACAAAAAAAGATGATGTTAAGCATCATAATAATTATTATGAATTATAAAAGTTGTATAGACTTTTTCATTTATATAAATTAACAAAAAGGTAAATAATCTGCTAAACTACAAAAAGAGCATAGATTTTGTTTCAAATTAAGATGTCACGTCACAAATGTAATAAACAGACACTGTTTGTTTCCCAAAACAGCATTCCTACTTTCATTATTACCTCTCAAATTGAAAAAAGACATTATGCAATGAAATAAGGGCATTTTTAAAGGCGCCTACATGAATGAGTGGAACAAAAATTGCAGAAGTCGAGGGATTTGTTCCTCTCTCACACTGTGTTCCTCATTTATTGAGACGAGTCTCAAACCCAGATCAGCAGAATGCTATTGTGACACTCTGAAACAGCCGACGTCCCGAGAGGATATCAACTTCCACCCACACAAAAGCCTGGCCGTTTCTACACCAGATCCACTTTAGCCTTAGCGTCAAAACCTGCACGCTCTCTTTTCACTCTAGAGCTGTCTGTGGATAGATTTAATTCATGCAATTAGGCCTCTGTGACCACTGTAAACACTGAGAGCCTTTTGCAGTTGAACACAAAAAAAAACATAAAAATACCTACCAGCCTCAAACTGTGCTGACTGAACAGGTCTCCTCAGGTAGTGATATTGTGTCTGTTAAATTATTAAAGACGCGTAATACACTTACAATGGAGGACATTAACAATCACAAACTCTAGTCCTAGGGATTTTAAAAGCAACACTCCCTTTTCCTCTAAAAGAATGAATCAGGAAGAAATACATTTGAGAGTTCAGAGAGTGTGAATCATATTTGATCCTCCGCAACACACCGAACGCCCACATTGTGTAGTGAAGATTACTGCACTTACTGAACTGTATGATAAAAGAAATCAGATCACCACTAAATTTGCTTAAAAATCAAGCATGTTTGACCATATTTAATGTGCTCTACGCATATGTGTTGATCAATGTTTATATGTAAACAATAGCCTAAATTTAATCTGTTCATCATATAAAGTGACTTAGAACACGTGGATTAAACTGCTTAATTTATATGGACTGTTTACTATGCATTTTTGAATCCTGATTCAAATAGCTATATTTGGTGGAATGGACTTTCAATGGAGAAACAGAAATCGCTCAGGTTATTAAAGGAACAGTTCACCTAAAAATGAAAATTTACACATCCAAGATATCTAAATATACAGTAGAAGATGAATTTGTTTCTTCATCGGAACAGATTTGGATAAATTTAGCATTACATCACTTGTTCCCCCAATGGATCCTCTGCAGTGAATGGGTGCCATCAGAATGAGAAATAATCCAGTCTATCAATTAATTATTAATGTCTTGTGAAACGAAAAGCTGCATGTTTGTAAGAAACAACCCTAACATTAAGACATGTGTTTTGGCCAGAAATAGTTTCAAGTTAAAACTAGTCGAGTGGATTACTTGTGCATTATCATGATGTTTTAGTCAGCTGATTGAACTCTTATTCTGATGGCAACTTAGATGGCCTGAGGTGAGTACAATTTAGGCACATTTTCATTAAATGTGTAAGTCTGTGGTCTGGATGCACAGAAATCAACCTACGCATGGCTTACTTAAAGCTGGCTCTGCATAATAATTTCTCATTGATTTCTTTTGAGTTTGGCGTGAAATATGGTCCAGACATGTTCTTGACAAGTTTCGTGAGATTCACCATTATAAGAGACTTTGAACTAATGGGAAATGACAAATATCAGCTCTACAAAGGCTAATCGGTTCCTGCCACAATAGGCAAGTTATTATTGAGGTATGTCAACAAAAACACATCACTCTGACTTGTGTCTATGTGGATTTTAGCCTTTGATGTCCATTAAAAATGCTTTTAGGTTAACCCGTCTCGACAGCGGTCAAGCAGAATGGATGTAATAATACAAATAAGGACAACTAAGTTAGCTGACCGTTGTAATCATAAAATGATACAGTCTAGCAGGGCCAATGCAAGAGATTCGAAGCCCGCAGGCCCACCACTGATATTTGTATTCAATTGTATGATAAAAGAAATCAGATCACCATCAAATCTGCTTAACCACCCATATAAATCAAGAAGGACATCAGAATAAGCAAAGTACGAGCCAAACATAGCTGGTGGTCCAATTAATCTCTCCTAACTGTGGTCAGTTCTTCTGCTCTCCTCTTTCCTCCTCAATAAAACACAAAACGATTCACAAAGTGATTATGTGCAATAGCATTACCCCAAACAATGAAATCAAATTAAGCAAGCACTTTGGTTTTGGTCCATACTCTCAAGCAGCAATGCCACAAGTGGTCCTTAGACTGTCAGCATTTGACAAACAGCTGGATGCCATAAATACAGATCCTGTCTGCTGTTAGGCTGTTTATGCGGTTCAGGAAAACCAGATGGACATTAGTTTCTAAATGAATATCTTTGACATCTTTGCCTCGCATAAACCGTGGGAAAACAGTTTGCAGCGATATCTTGTCAAGCTCAGCATCACAAGAACATGGCATGTTTTCGCCATATACCTAAGGTATGAGATATGCTATAGATGGAACAAAGCCTCATAAGATGGTCTAATGATAAACCAAAAGCTTAGGACATATTTTATGAACGGGAATTGTGTTTTGGATGCTTTGTGATGTTTAATGAATGTTCTGGAACGTTCTATATACATATTCTATGTTATTTTATATGAGACGCTCCATACATGTACTTACACCTACTGAATATCTCATGAGCGTGTTATAATACGCCTCAATGAATGTACCTAAGACGTCTCCCGAGTAGGAACCGAAGTGACAAACATCTCACATGATTATATCACATCTCTCGGGGAGTCTTGTATCCTCTCATGTCCTATCAACTGTAATCTGACACTGACAGCTCGCGCTGCTGAATTTACACTGCCGCTAGCGTTAGCCCGTTAGCACTCAACCCCGGAACCGTGGCATAAACAAACCCAATATCAACACATACGTTATTGTAACAACTCAAATGACTGTCTTGTGTTTAAAAGAGGTGTTTGAGATGAATATGCATCCGTCTACATACCTGGTAGGTCTGCCAGCATTATAATACGCAGTTTTTCTCGAATTCTTCCGTACAGGATTCAGAGGGATGCTGTCTGCCATCTTTGCTCGGTTACGTACGAATGTCGTCACGTCCGGACTAGAGTGAGGGGAGATATCTGCTGTAATCTGGAAATGTGATTCTGAAGGTATTTTATTTTATGGTGCTTTAATATCTTACTTGGTTGAAGTTATGGGCTTCCGTTGATGGATTATTTCACATTAGGCATCTTACCAGTGTTGTCTTGCCGTTCTTTGAAGGCTTGTGTGCCCAAATGAGGCCAACATTTTGTATTTAAATAACAGTAATATAATGACATCATTATTTTTTTTAAATAACAATGTCTGACTCAAGTTTATGTCACAACACAGACAAATACCGAGAGACAGAAAGAGATAAAGAGTGAAGCACATATAGTTACAAAATACAAGTAAGGTGACACAAACAAAAATATTTTGTTTGAGATTTATTTATTGAGGGTGGCAGCAATATTGCATCTTAGAAATAAATCCAGTTCAGTCAGCGTGTTTGAGACACCACCTCAGTTGTTCCATGTAAAAATACTGATGTGCAGACAGAAAAGCAAACCTGGTGTACTTTTTATTCGTTATAATGTATCTGAGTACAAAAATAGTGTCTCCTTTTCATGCAGAGGACACATTGAATCCCTTGTTTCACCATTACCTATCTTATGAAAAAACTGCTCGTTCATATTTTTATGTTTTTTCCCCAACACTAAACAATATATTATATAAGGAAAATAGCACTACAAAATAAAATAAAATAAAAAAACACTAAAAATGACCTGACATGACACGCTTAGTGAATAAGACATAAGCTACCATTACAGACAAGTATATTGTTTTCACTTTTTTTCTTTTCCCTTGTACATGAATGTTTCTGGAACAAATGGATTTATTTATTTTGTTCTTGATAGGAAAACACACTTCTAAATTGTGAAATAGAATTGTCCTGCAACACGTTCAGATGCATCACAGGGGCTTCATTGATAACTATACCTTAAACTGAAGTGTAAAGGTGTTTTTAATGAAAGATCTTTATTAGCAGTCTTATTATACTTAATGGTCTCATGTTGGCCCACTAATTAATTTTGCATGTAAAAGTAAATAAGGCAGAGAATAGCATAAAACATATAATTAGCATTAATAATAACATAGCACAGGCTGGTATAAGATGGAACGTTTCATTGCTGAAAGCAGCTAAAATGACACTAGCTTTCATGGTGGTGTACTTGATTTGCATGAAAATAAATGGTTTGCATCCAATGCATAGCAGCAAAGCAGTGGGATGTCAAAGAATAATACATTTCTTTTCAAAGCCTCTGAATTGTCTCTTTATCTTTTGCTCGGGGATTTAAGTTACATACTTTCAGCTGTAGCTATATTAAGACCACAGTTTGGGAATGAAAAGTTTCTATTATATATGCAAACATGTTCCCTTTCTCATGAATAGGGCGATGTTTAACAGCAAAATCAGAGGGTAAAAACAAATCAAATAAAATACATATTTACAACATAAAATAATCATTTCATCTCAAAGCAATGCCCTTGGATCAAGTGTAAGGTTTCAGTCAGTGGACATAATTGAAAAACTAACCGTGGCCTCAGTTTAAACAATAAAATAAAAAACAAGTGCCATTATAGCATAAGATAAACTGAATCTTTTCCCACATGAATCAAGCACATTCTAAAGAGTTTATTCTGATTTTAAAAAATCAAGACACGTTTAAATTTGCAATGTTCCTTATGCAAGGAGAAATAATATGTCACCTTTACTTTAATTGATTCCAATGTCTTTTTTGTCATCAATCATCATGGAGAAGTGTTGTCCAGCACCCCTTTCTAAGCCTGTTTTTTCCATGGCTGTGATTGGTGGGCTGTTTCCAGTGCTAGCCTTGTCCGTGGCCACAGTAATGGCAGGAAGCTGGGGGACTCCTCCACTCTGAATGACGGATATTTCATTGTTCCTCATTGCTAAGCCATTAGTTATAGCTGCTGCATATCGGCTCCAGAAGTTTTGGTCCACATTCATGGCCCGTGCTGCTAAATCCTTCTGAAACGCTTCGCTGAATTTCAGGGCGTCACCGCCCAGAAGGGCAATTGGGTTTTCCACAGACAGACGTCTACCTCTACGGGCAGGAGTGTTATTCCACATATGGGTGCCCATGTGCACCTGTAGACAAACAGAAATGAAAAAGAAATCAATAACAAATATTTTTACGATATTTGCAGCATTTGTGTGTCTGTAGCTTTGAGCTGTAGGCTGATTACAAAAAATGACTCATGTTGCAACAACCACCATGTGTATTTTATTAATTAATTAATTAATACTTTTTTTTTTTTTTTTGATTGACAGGATGGTGAAGAATTGACAGTAAAGGGAGAGAGAGGGGGAATGTGAGTGGGCCTTGACCAAGGACGGGCTCATACCCGGGTCCACACATGCACAATAGGTTTTTACATGTTGGGAACATAACACAATTCAACAATGGTAAGCATTTTATGAAAATGATAAGAATAAAATAAAATAAAATAAAAGCAAATAATATGTTTAATTTAAAAATGTAAACATCATTTAAAAGTTCATATATAGTTTAAGCTACTCACTTGTTAAATAAAATACAATAATGATCACACATACCTTGAGATTACCCTTGGTTGTGAACGCTCGACCGCAGACAGAGCAGCCGAAGGGTTTTTCACCAGTGTGTGTGCGCTCGTGGATCTGCAAGGCACTGGCAGAAGAGAAGTTCTTCCCACATGCTCTGCAGTTGTGTTGCTTAGGGGTCCGTCTGGGAGGGGGTGGTCCAGTGAGTGAGGTGACGGCCGGTATCATCACCTCAGAGCGCGGGGTGGGAGACTGCAGGCCAAATGCAGGGAAAGGCCCCTCTTTTAGAATGTATGGTCTATTGCAAGCATTCATCTCCAGTTTCACTGCAGTCGGCAAATTTTCAGTATCCTGTTCTGTAGACCTTTGAGCATTTTCTGAAAATAAAAATAAACAATTAGTATAAAATCAGCAGTGTAATAAAACAAATAAATACCATAATGCTGTGTATTACGTGTTAAAGATGAAGTGTGTCATTTCTGGCCACAGAATGCCAAACAGAATTGCAGGTTTTTGTTCAAATTTTAATAATAATTAATCATTTATATAGATTAATATTTTTTACATTTCTTTTAGAAACCTCCAATGCATGAAAAAACAGACTAGTCCAGCTCCAAACTCACACCATTAGTTGTGTCAGGCATTGTGTAGCACCACAATGTTTACACATTTCAGGTAAACTGAATATGGCTTACTTACAGTTGTCTCTGCATATTTAGCTAGGATAGGAGATTAAAAAAAATATATGACACTTCAACTTTAAAGTAATTCAAATTATACAAAAAATACAACAGATTTTTGCTGCTTATTTAGTTTACTAAGAAAAATGTTTTGAACATTTTACCACAATGTAATTTCATTATTTTCAAATCACTTACATTTGTAAATTGGATTTTGTGTTAAGATTACATGAATAATTTTTGTTGGCATAACTGGACAGTGGAATTTTAATTCCCTGCATGCTTAGCATATGACTGCATTAGCAGAGTACATTTTAAAAATAAATGTTATTTTACGTGTTTCTGAGTAAAAGGAAATACTACTGATGTTTAATGTTCAGTTATGTTATAGATTTAGAAGAGTTTCTGTTGTTTTGTAATCTTTGTGTGGTTGCTGTTGTTCTAAAGAGTGGAGCTTGTGTTTAGGCTGTGGGCTACATGATGACTACAGTGTGTGTGTTGCTTCGCTCAGAAAGAATAACTGCTAACGCCAGTACTGAGACTAGGTTCATCTTACTCGTTCATCCCATACATTTCATATAATAATAATAAATGATGTTATATTTAGTATGCTACTATCTAACACAAGGACATACATTTAGGTTTGTTCGAAAAAACATTACTTGTTTTAAATTTCATGTTCTAGTCTTCTAAAAACCTAAAATAACTTTTATCTAACTAAAATAAGCTTTTCTCAATTTAATTAGGTTCACTGAGCAATTTTTTAGTGTACAGTGTTTTACTGGTATCATATAGCAGTTTTAGCTTACCATGTTCCTTATTAAAAAACTGCATGTTGAAAGAGTTTTCTTTCTTGAATGTAGAGTTGATAGGCTGGATTCCTGTTTGATTAACAGTCACCTCGTTGACTCTATTTGCTGCAGGACAATCTGTTGTTTCAGATTTTACTATAGATGTTGCCTCTGGGACTTTAAAGGAGAGATTCAGAGAGACTAAGTGCTCATGTTGGCCCTCAGGTTGACTGTTGGGATAGGGTGAAATGTGAATAGAACTAGACGAATGTGGCATTAAACTAGTTTTTATGCTATGGTTCTCCATCTCACCAGTGGTGGTAGAGCCCAGAGCATGAAGATCGTTATCCATAGGTCCGCACCTGACCATCATTTTTCCATTTGATTGGCTGAGATTGACGGATGAGTCTTCCCCTACGCTTTGAGTTTCTGATACACTGGTTGGAAGCGAGGAGATAGGTGGTGGACTGTCTGAAAACGAGCTCAGGGTGTTTTCATTGTTCTCCACAACATCCCCTTCTTCTTCAAATGAAATATCATCAAGACAGTCATCATCATAAGTGCTCATGCTGTCAAAACTCTCCATATCTGTATCTTTCTCGTAGATGGTTTCTGCCAGAGGAGTGTTTGGAATCTGCCCACCCATGTGCATGCGTATGTGCTGCTGTAACACAACTGCATTCGTGAACTTTTTCTGACAGATCGGGCATGAATGTTGAATCCGAAGAGGAGGCTTTGCACGGTGGACACCAAAGTGTGTCTTTAAGTTACCCTTTGTGGTGAATGCTCGTCCACAAACCTTGCATTTAAATGGCCTCTCCCCTGTATGGATGCGGTAGTGCATCTTCAGCGCACTCTGACAGCTTAGCACGCGGTGACAGATAACACACTGATTGGGTTCCATCATCTTCTTATCGATGTTTTCCACAAGCTGTTGGAGCTTCGATGTCTCAGATGTTTGCATAG